GACAAAGAGAAGTCAGGAGCAATTGCTTTCTTAAAAAAAGCAAAGCTTCATCCAAAGTGAACCATAGTTTCCCAATTTAAAAATATATACTAAATAAAATTTCCTGCTAAGGGATGTTTTCCCTAGGTGGAATTGTTCTACCTTTAAAAAAATGCCTTTCATGCAAAATTCCGCTTAGTGGAAACAGCCTTACCAAGTGAAAAAGATAAGGCCATTTAAGGGAAGTTTCCCCGATTAACGCATGCGTTGGACTTATATTAATTTGTATACGCACACCAGCTCGTATAAACTATTTCTCGTCTACCGAATTAACACGCCGACTTCATGTGATGTATCGTAATCACCTCTTTTTATTTGGTGAATAATTGAATTATCAGTGACTCCTATCAATTTGAAAGTCTTCTATGACAATAATCTTTTAAAACACCGACGTTTTGGAGGAATTATTAAGCGTTAGCTGCGAGAAATTTTGCCCGGCAGATTCAAGGTGAAATTTTTATCAATCCAGGTAATACCAACTTATCTTAATTAATCGATGCTCAAGGCAAGTTTAAAAACTTTGCTGTCAGAGTGATCAGTGCTGGTATAGATCTAATCATAATAGGTAGCGGTTTTTGCCACTGTTATATAGTAAACTTGCAATAAACGACGTGTTGATATGTGTTTGACAGTCAGTATGTTAGCTTCCGGTTTAGCTAGTGTAGACGTTTATGCATGATCTAAAAGTATGTCCCGATTGCCGAAGGTGTAATAGAAAATGTTGGCAATAAAATTAATGCTAGCTCGACAATTTATGGTAATTGTACCACCAAAGTAAAGTTTAAGCTAGCTTGGCCTGAAGCGATGTCGTTTACAGCTGAATGTTTAAACTCAAGCAAGTTGGTACATGGAAATACGTATCAAGCAAGTGTCTGTTGGAATTATATAACGCAGTATATACGCGAGTTGATATAACGCAATCGATAATGTTCTACTGCTATATATCGTGAGATTTAGCTATATACCTGTAAATCTCTATTATTTTGGTAAGTTAAAGAAACACTGCTTCAGAATAGGTATTAATTCTATGTTAACTTACATCGGAATTCTACTTTCGATATGTAATAACCGGTTGAATGGCTTCAAATAAAAACATTTTGACACAGCATTTTTTTCGTAACAGCCATTTGTTTATCAGTTTATGAGCAGCACTTTTTCACATTTTTGAGCATATACATGTCTTTAACTGTTCAAAGCGGTGCAGAATATACTTAGAAAAAACTAAAATGCCGACTACTGCTAGAAAGACGGATAATAAATACCAATTTTCGCCGAACGACGACATACAACCGACATAAATTGTATAAAATGTGATCCAACAGCGACCAGTAGAGGAAATTTCTGCCAAGGCTTAAGGCGGATTTCCACTTACAGCGAAATCGTTCGCTGGCGAAATATTTGCATATTTTCTTTTGAATTGAGAACACTCAAGTCGCACTAATTTATTTATGCTGCTAAAATTCAAAAGAAAATATGCTAATATTTCGCTAGCGAACGATTTCGCTGCAAGTGGAAATCCACCTTTAATTTGAAACACTAAGAAATCATGCATGTATACACGCGGATTATCCGGCAACCTACAAAATTAATAGGAATAGTTTATAGTAAATTTATACCAAGAGGAATGTAAATACTCCAATTACATTTACCAAGTGAAAAGACATCAGAACAATGTATTCAACGGTGTCGACGCTGGAGAGCTTTATACAGATTGAATACACGGCTCCCGCTACGTTCACTACGCGATTTAAAAAGTATATTTTCTTGTTTGTTTTTTTCATGGAAAACACATAATAAAATTTTATGATAAAAAGGCAGCCATCTTTGATTGCGAAATCCTGGTGTGTTGGTAATAAATGTCTGAAATTGAATTTCTTGCGACGTCCGCCACGTTCACTACGCGATTTATAAAAAGCATGCAAATATATGAGTTGATATTTTCTCGGGTATTCTCTGGAAAATAGTTAAGAGAAATTTCTTATTAACCGTGGTTTTTATCACATGCTTTTCCGAAATGGTAAGTTTAGATATTTCGCAATATTTGACAGTATAAACAAGGCGCTTAGTATAATGGACGCCGAGCTTTAATTAGGCAGGCACGAGGTGGCACGTATGCAAGGGATGTGCGTTTCGTCGTAGCGGCCGGGCGGTATAGTCAAAACTAAGGCGCCCTACTTTCCCGAATACAGTACCGTGTAGAATAAGTTAACGTATTTGAAAAGTTCGCAAACCACGCTAGTTCCCTCGTGCAGCAAAATTATTCTACCAGGAAAATCAATATCAATTTTGAGCCATCCCCTTTTTCTTTATGTTTTCTTTTAGATGTAAATTATTAATTATCTAGCTATTTAGTATAAATTTTGAGCTGACTATTGGCTTTCCTGCATTCTGATTGGTCAAGATTTACTGTCTCTGAAGTAATAGTCACTGGGTCGGTGAAGTAATTATGCATTTTCATGAAATTATGAATGATTATTATTTGTAAACGGCTAGGTGATTACAAGCCTATATATTCAAGCTAATATAGGGTTGTAATCACCTCGCCTTCGGCAACTAATTGTTAAATAGAATCTCAATTGTTAAATAAAATCTCGGCAGTTAACTTTGTGATTGGATAATTGTTATGCCATGCAAGCATGTCGATTGAAACTGATCCACGGAAATTTATCACGAAAATAAATTTTGCGTTACTAGCTATAACAATTGAAACTTTTTACTATTAAAGGATATCTTGGTGGAAAATTATTGTCGAAAAATGTTACGAAAAACAGCGACAAAATGACAAGTACATTGAAAACTAATTCAAATAAAAGGTAATTCGTATTATTTTAATTTTTGTTTTATATAAAGAATCACAATATAGCTATGCACACCATAGTTTAAACCAACCTGAACGTTCACTTTGTCAAGAAAGGTAAAAATTAAGTGGAAATACTAATGGATATATTGATGGATACATTCATGTAGCCTAGGTGCCATTTTCACGTCAATAGGGAGATTATAAGACACCAATGTCACAACTCACTGCAAACTCATTCATGCAAAATACCGCATGCGTGCATATGGATACACGTGAATCTACTCACCATATGCGAATTGCGTGGGAAGACTAAAACACAATTGCATGAGACCAGGTAATCGGTACCGAAACTACAACTACAACAATAATTGTAAGCTATTGGACTTACAGAAGAAATCCGTCGAATATAACTGAATATATAAGCAGACAAAAACATCGTTCAGGTTTCGGACCTGCTGCTAATCAGGAGTAAACAATTATTCGCCGAAATCGCGGTGAAAATCTACTGAAAACACGATCATAATACTATTTTTTGTCACCCAGGTCAAAATTAACCACATTAACAGAGAACAATAAACGATGGTGCGTCTTTGGAATTGCTCTCAACCATGTCGTCGTCCCCGCAATACGTCCTGTTCTAGAGCAGGAAATTCTCAAGGAGTACAACGACCTTAAATTGAACCACAATATTCATGTTCAGACCAAACACAGCTTTCCTTCACCGAAATATCCAACTGGTAATGCCATAAAATACGAGAACATCAACGGGAATGATACCAAGTTAAAAGCCCCGCATCATAAAAAGTTTGATTACTCCAAGTTTGACTACAAAGTTAATTCCCATGTTGACTTTGCCAAGCTCTTTCTGCAGAATTACATGGCTAAGCTCAGCGCGTTCGACGAAACTTGTGATTCATCCGCTTTGCTTAATCTACTTGGAAAAGTTCCTGTGTTTTCTGTTGCTCTCCAACATACAGCAAATGTTGTTAGAGAAGGTAGAAATACTTGGGCACATTGCGTTTTTACTGAGTGGGATCAATCCAATTTCAAGAAGAGTTTTGAAAAACTGCTAAGAGAAGTTGGTTTATCTCTTGCAGATGAATCGAAAGTTTTAGCGGATCTTAATGACTGGAATGACAAAGGTATACTTTTTATGTAATTATTTTCTTGTTGGATACTCTATTCCGCGTATTGCGTGAAAAAATATTGTTATCTGTCGCTCAGAGGACAATTTTTTAGATTTGGAATTTAGTCCCAAAATTATTTTTACTGAAATTGTTGTTTTTCTTGGTTTAGGTGTTGCATTGTGTATGAATGCTTCAATTGATTCGGAACTAGTTAAAATAATGCAAGAACATGTTATTAAATTGTCAAGTGAGGTGGACAAGATGGCGTTTGAGAGTCAAGAAAAATTGTGTAACTTGAGAGAAATTTTAGAAAATACTCACAAAAGTTTACAAAATTGCGAGGAACGAGTGAAAAATATGCAGCTTACCCAGGATACAATGGAACAAGAACTAAGGTCTACTGCTGCCGATGTAAGCCAATTGAGAACTGAACAAGAAGTTCTTCAACAAGGACTGAGTTTTACAATTGACAAAGTTAATCAACTCACAATTGATCAAGAAGTTCTTCAAGAGGAACAGAGTTCTATTTCTGCCAGAGTTGAAATGCATCAGGCCGGACATGAAGCCATTCAACAACGTGTCACAAAACTAGAGCGCCCACAAAATATTTCATACGGTATTGTTTAACTACTACATAACAATTGCTTATAATACCTTTCTAAAACTTACGTAAGATAAAAGTGAAGAGGTATAAATCCGACATTTTGTTCTCCTGTTTGTGCGATCAGAATTTGCCGTCAAAATACAAGTTTCTTCCTATTTGCGAATTTTTAGCACATACTATGCAGCAGTCTGTTCTATTTTTCGTCGACCAATTCTTTCGCACAAAATCACAATGAAAATAAATTTTCACCAGATTATTAAAATGATAGTTTTAACAAAACATTGAAGACTTTCCCAGTATGCCATGCTGTTTAAGAACTAATAACCTGATTAATCAAGAAATCAAATCACTTAAATAGTTTTTAATTACTAGTAAGTTTCAGTTACTATAGTGTTACCTGCTCCTTCAATATATACTTTGATATTTCTAGTTTTCTCCGATTGTACTTCTGACATTGAATATTTTGCTGGACGATACGATCCAGACACAAGACATTGGTTCCTGGAAGATTTCAACAAGTGGTTCAGTGATTCTGGTAACTCCAGAGCCTATGTGCTGCTGGGTGATGCCGCAGTTGGCAAAAGTGTCATGGCTGCTGTCGTTGCTCAGAGAGCAAAGAAGGATGGAAACATGGCAGCTGCGTACTTTTGTCGTCACTACGATGGCACACGTCGTGATCCCAGGTATCTGCTTGGTAGTATCGCTTATCAACTGTGTAATTGTAATAGTCAATATGATAGAGTTGTAGGAGGGGAATTCGGGGTACAAAATATGTTGACTAATGATAAGCTAGGAGTTCACGAGCTGTTTACAAAATTGCTAGAAGAGCCATTAAGTAAATGCGGTCGTATTGCAAAAAAAATTGTCGTGATTGATGCACTAGACGAGGCAGAATATTGGTCCAGAGAAGATTTTCTTGATCTCATAATGAACCGTTTTCCCATGCTTCCTAAATGGCTCGTTTTCTTCATTACTAGTCGTCCGGAAGACTCCGTGCAGTTTAGACTGAAAACGTACAACCCATGTATTAGGATTTGTGCAGGAAATAGCGACAGCGCAGGCTTTTATCAGCAGCATAAACAGGATATTCAGCGTTTTTTTTGAGAAAAATGTGAAGTTCACGGGCCTGTCGTACTCTGCTGAAGAGCTAACGGAAAAATGCAATGGAATGTTTTTGTACGCTTTTTACCTTGTGGAAATTCTTAAAAACACGACACAATTAAGTAGCAATCTTTTCCCTGGAAATATCAACGATTTCTTTTACAAAAATTTTAAACGTGTTCACAAAAAAGTAGGTGAAAACGTTTATAGGAAATTGTTTGGTTGTGCTTTTGTAGCGCCTTCTCCCCTTCCCGTTTCATTCATTTCGTTTCTTTTAGAAAGAGAAAACTCCGCTCTTGATAAGCAGGAAGTAATTGATGCTGTCTCACATTTTGTTGCATTGCGAACTTCAGATAAAACTTTTGCATTTCTCCACAGTTTGATCCCGGCCTGGTTAGTTAATGAGCAAAAGGCCTCTCGAATGCTGTTTATTGACCGACGTAAGGGAAGCAAATTATTCAAAAATATTGTTATCGAATTCTTAAGTGATTTTACGCAGGAAAGATGGGACAATTTGTCCTATTACGAGCCGGATTTAGTTAATTATATTTCGTGTTTTGGCTTTCGCTTCTTAATCAGTGAAGAATCTAGGAGTTCTGAGATCGTATTCAATGCTTTGACAAACTATCGGTTTCTTGAACAGCGAATACGAAGCAATAGAATCGGAATTTACTCTCTTATTGAAGACTTAGAGATATCTTTAGGCAGGCTAACGTTTGGTCAAAGGGAAAAGAAGAATCTTGAGGATATCTGCTTCGTTCTGAAACGAGACAAATATAATGTTACCGGTTGCCCTGAACTTCTTTATTCCTGTCTTCGCAATGACCCTGAACTAACCCGTGCAGATTTTAAAACTGGGCCAGGCAGCTGTTGGATGGAATCAGGGATTAGAATTTCTTCCAATGCAAAAACTGTTCTCAATAGCATGGATTGTTTTGCTTTTTCCCATGATAAGACACTGTTTGCTGGAGGAAAACAGCGATGTCTTTATTTGTACAATGCACGTTCTTTTGATTCGACTTTAGGACCTTTTGAAGTGATGAATGAATCTATATCGCATTTGACATTTTTTCCTGATGATAAATTTGTGTTTTTTGGAAGACTTGACCGATGGTTTTCAGTGCAGGAGAAACGTGTCGTTGAAATGTCACAATTTTCAGGTAATTCTAGACATTATCGCTGGGGTTCGTTTGTTCATGACGGTAAATACATTGCGCTAACGAGCTTGACTAGCCTCTATAAAAGACGCTGGTGTTACTTGTACATGTTCTTGAGGTGGGCCGAACACGAGCGTGATTTCGTAGTTGCCATGTCACAAACACAGGACAATTACTTCAATGTAATCAAACGTGAGCTTTTTCGTGAACACGAACGACATTGCACAGGCTTATGCGCTGTATTTGAAAAGATTAAAACTTCTGTTCGTGATCAAATTGTAGTTCTTTATGCCGACTTATTTCAGTATCAAATTTGGAATGTGCAAACTGGGAGACCTGTGGTAGAAGAGATGTTTTCGTTGCAGTTAGAGCCATTCTTTTATATTTGGCATTTCAATTCCAGGCTAGAATACTTTGAAGACATGATTGGTGAAATTTCATTGTTTGATTTCGCTATATATAATATTATGTACTACTTGTATGAAATAAATAACACATACGAACGGCTGGGCGCATTGTTTCCAGCAATGCTAGGAAAACTGAAAGATGAACACAGCGTAGCAGAGCACCATCGGAATGAAAACGTTTCGCTTCTTATTCAAAAAACATCCGTAGAATGCTATGACCAGTTTTTAAGCTTAACTTACCCATTCCAAAATCTTTCAAAAAATGGAAAATGGCTTGCGAAACACGGAAATAATAACCTTGAAATCTTCGAAAAAATTAGAGGAAGTGAAATTTCAAGATGGAGAAGCAAAGATTCGCCTCGAGGTTTCTTTGGTATAGAAAAATGTGCTTTTACAAATGATAGTAATTTGTTTGTTTATTCCGAAAGAAAAAATCTGTACGCTGTTTCTTTGGAAAATTGCGCAGAACTTCGTAGTATTTCGGGGGCAGATCCTGTGCATTGTGCATCTGGCAATGCTGAGGGGATTGGGTATATTTTTCTTCGAGATAATGAAAGAAGAATCGTTATGTTGACTGATTTACCTGCAAATTTTTTTCGCCTTTTGTGGCCTCATACTGAACATGATATCACATTGAGTGATAAGCCAGTTGATGTTTCGTTCACATCAGCTGATACAATGATGTCACTTCACTCAGACGGAATGTGCAAATTGTGGAAAGTAGAGCAGGATATGTTGGTCACAGAGGACACAGAAGCTCAACAAAAAATCAAAAAGAATTCACAAACAATCTCTGTAAAGAGAGGTGTTTTCTCCCCCAATGGAAAGTTAATTGCCTTACACGAAAGTTGCGAATTATTGTTATTTAGCACTGGTAAGCTTCTTTACCCCGTCTTTTCAGATAAGTGTGAATACACTGTTCCTTGTCTTGTATTTTCACCTGATGGCTCTTTGTTTGCTTTTTGTATCCAATATGGCAGCGATAATCAGTCTTTCTACGTGTTCGATGTCAACACTAAGGCTTTGACTGACCCCATTCTCCCTCCCTTTCCATTCCGTTTAATACGCTTTGACTGCTGTTGCTTCTCTTCAGACAACACCAAACTGTGTTTTTGCAGTATTTCTGGTATCCTTGTTTTAGAGTATGCCACACCAGAGAGACACTCAAAACTTACTATCCCAAAATACGCAGCGTTGGACAAATTTGGTCACTGTACCGTCTCTTCTGATAACAAAATGCTAGCTTGTTGCATTGCTAATGATATTTTAATATTTCCACTCAACGGGCAAGACACATTTTGTAAAGTACCACAAAATCATTCAGGTAAAATAGAATATTGTGAATTTTTGAGAGGGAATCGTTACCTGATATCATACGGTATCGATGGTGTTGTGTTTTTGTTTGACCTTCTTGAGTGGAAATCAGTTGCATATCGAAGGCAGGAGTCTATAGTTAGAATAGCAATTTCTCCTGATGAGGATAAACTTGCTTGCCTTTATTCTTCTGGTGATGTGAGTATCATAAGACTTTATGGGTTGAAAACAGGATTGCCACAAAATTTCCAGTTGCCCTCAATTCCCCGACATCTGCAGAGAGATTCTGAAGTACAAGATCGGCAGGTAGTTAGACCACCGGATCAAACACATAGTGAAAACGAAAATTTAATGGATGTGGATGAACTAATGTGGTTTATTTATCAAAGTGAAAGCAGCGACGATGATGAATCAGACGAGACAGATTTACTTTCAGATGAAAGGTCATTTTTTTCTAATTTGGAGTAGTGAATAATCATTGCGTTATTCAGTAATGTACTAAGGTTAAAATCCAATTTCATCTTCTCACAGAATCTTATATCAAAGCAATTGACGTTACCTTTTCTCTAATTTTTCATTAGTGTGCCTTTATAAACCCCTGTAACTGGAAAGTAGGGAGTCTTTAAAATTAAATCATTGAATCTTTTCTTAACAAATGAATGTTCCATATTTTCAGAGCGATCATCAGCCAATAATTCTCCAGTAGCAAGGGTAGGGTAGAAAACGTGAATTTAAAATTTCCCGTCGAGTTGATCCGTGCGTTTTCAGCCAAAAGCGTTTTTGAATTGATCTCGGTAAACTTTATCACATCTTGTAATGTCCCTGTTTTTCAGGATGATCAATAAACCAAAGAATTAGCTACAAAGAATATCAAGTACCTAAATTTAGAAAGAAAAACGAGTATCATCCGCAACTTCACCTTGAATAAAGAGTTAAAACTAGTATATTTCTTTATCAATTATGGCATCCATTATATCTGGACATTCTCTCTCGTATTCTGTGCGTCAAATGCTTCGAGGCTAAAATGTTTTGTCTCATTTTTTGAGTCGAAGTTTTGTAGTTCGGAACGTTTGATTATCAATTAAGAATGTTCATCATGCAACTATAGCTTGCCTGGTTAATCTTAAATCTTAATGGTTCTTTAGTCTGGCACGAAGGAGAAGTCTTAATTATAACGTATGGTTTTCATATGTCGTAATACATTAGCGATATGCATTTTCGGCGGCAATTGATGACCAAAAGATTTTGAACACATTGAACACAAACAATGGATCATAAAACTTTTTTGATTAATTGCAACATATAATTACCTTGGCATGAGGTTGACCATAACGCTATTCAAAGTCGTTACCTGGAAACAGTGGCGGAGCTAGGGAAGTGCAGAATAAATTACGACAGCTTAAAATCGGAATCTCATTGGCAGATTTTAATGTAAAAATATTCTTTTCAAATCTATGACCAATAGCGTTGTTATTAAGGTGTTTCGAATTTAGAATTAAACTGTGTAATTTATTTTGCACAACCCCTAGATCCGCCACTGCCTGGAAATTCTCTCTCGCTTCCAACTCTGGGATAATTGCTTAGCGACGTTCGTCTCTTCTTCCTTCTTCTTTCTAAATTCTTTGCTGTCGTCACTCTGTGGTCGTTTCATGTTGAATCTGTGGTTTATTTCAATCTGTAATCCTTTTAGTGTATCTCTGTAACAAAGTGATTTAAACATACAAAATAATTATTAGAACTGTTAATATTACTAACTTCATGAAGCACGATAATTTAAGGTTCTTTGTGTATAAAAGGAAGAGGTAATCCAAATTCAGTGGCGGATCTAGGGGAAGTAAGCATAAATTACTACAGCTTAAAATCGTAATTGCATCGGTAGATTTTTATTTTAAGATATTCTTTTGAAATCCATAAAAAATAATGTTATTATTAAGGTGTTTTGAATTTAAATTTTAGCTGTGTAATTTATTCTGACTATGCCTAGATCCGCCACTGTCCAAATTATCATCATTTTTCTATTCATTACATTCAGATTGCTGTTGAAAAATGCATTTTCCGACAAGTTTCTTAATTATTAAAACAGGTTTAGGTTGAATAACTTGGATTACCTGATAATACACCTTCAAAAGTCAATGATTAAATTACCCTGGGTTATAGTCATTCAGTGTCACTGGAATGTTCAGGGAACCTTTGAGGAGAGGAGGGCACGTGAAGTTTGCTAAGTACGTACGGTGTTTCTATCATAACTAATTTTCAACTCATTTAAAGATTAACTATATTATTCAATAAAAAATTACAAATTAAAAGAAATATGGTAAAACAAGGCACTGACAATTGGCCGCACGTGCCTTTTCTCAAAAAGGGCGCCTCCCCCCTCCCGCCCTCTACTCTTCTCCGGTGTCTCTGCATGAATAATGTTTTCAAGAGCTGCTTTCCACTGTCGCGTTGTTTGAACGAACGTGCACGCACCTAATAGTGTAAAATCGTTAAAATGATACTTTTAAATGATTCAATAGGGTTGAATTCTATTGAAGATTTGGTATGTTTTTGCTGGCATTATTTTGTAACAACTTAGAAGGTTTTAAAAGTATACGTACGGGTACGTGCCTGCAAAAAAAAACGCGAAAAACTTAGTTTTCCGTATACTTTAGTATGTCCATTTGTTGACCCATTTGTGAAATATAACAATTTGGAAGCATTTAAACAGTGGAAAGCAGCCCTAAGATATAATACATACGGGCATAACCAAACAAAAGCAGTTGAATATACTTGAACAGACACTTTTTAGTGCTATTTGCGATCTTTCAACAACTTATGCAGTCACTTCATGTAAATACTTTGCTAGGCTCTGAGAAATTTATATCTCAGTTATATATAGAAATCGCATGCCCGAACCGTTGCTGATTAGAAATTGTGAATGATTAGAAATTTTCATCTTTTTTGATAATGAATAAACTTGTAATATCATAATCGCCTTATACATTACGTGTTTCTTTATCATATGCATTAGGGTTCAAGTAACCTGGAAAGTGATGGAAATAAAAAAGATATAAAGAACTGATAAGAACTGATGTTAATACTTCGTCGACAGCAAGCTTTGCGTTTTGAATCTCGTTTTGTGCCGATATTAAACTTCGTTCAAGCCGAGCAGTTTCTCTTTCTAATGTTGTGACCAAGATCTTTTCGCTGGCATGTTTTGCCGGATCTGCAGGGACTGAAATCGCAACTTTTTTTTGTATATGACCACGTTCTAGATGACAATTTCCGCATGTAGTTTTACTTCCCTTATTTTGATGTGATGCGATTTTCAGCTTCTCACGACATCTCGCATGCAAGCTTCTGCATCTATGTTTGCAACGAACGTTTGATATCGCTCCCGGTTTGCTGTTCTTTTTTAGCGTATCTCTCTAATGGAAGTAATATACGCGGGTTTTTACGGGGTGAAGTAGGAAAATCGCCATCTGAGTCACTGTCACTCGTGTCATATAAAGGATCGTCTTGTCCTCCTGTAAACGTCAACGATCTTTTCGCCGGCGGAATGGTTTGGGCTTTGCGAGTATCTTGAGATGCTGCATTTTTGTTGTCGCTATTCAATATGTCACTTACACTGTTTTTTCGGTGTGAGAAGGTGGTAGACCAGGAGAGTCAAACGAAAGCCTTCACAATTATTGTTTTTTTTTTCTAAAATACCTGTGATGTGAAAACTAAAATATATAGGGGACAAATCTACCGCCGAGTTATCTTCGATAACTGTCAGTCGCATAAAGATGTGGCCAATTTATTTACATACGGAACTTCGGATAATAAACGCGACTTAAAGTCTTCGAAGCGGAGATTCAAAAGTTCTTCTTCTCTCATAAATAGTGGAGTGACTCTTTTGTTTGAGTAATAGTCATAGACTATTTTTATTTCCACAAGAGACATTTCAATTTTTTGATTTTTCAACAACACTGCATCTATGTCAAAGGCAAAGCACAAATGGAACGCTCCGCCCATTCCTTAGAAACAGTGCATGTGACATTTCAAATGTCATCTATTAAACGACCCCATCATGCGTTGCGAAGGCTTGTTGTTTACGACTCAACCTCACTGCTCAACCTGCGTTGCGAACGCTTGTTGTTTTGCAATCAAACGGAATCCGCTGTAACAGTAACACACCGAATTCATGTGACATATCGCAATCAACGCCTTTCATTTAGTGCATAAATGGATTGAAAATGAGTCCTTTCAATTCGAAAGTCTTCAATGACAATAAAATTTTAAAACCCCGACGTTTTAGAGGAATTTAACTGCGAGAGATTTGCCGGGCAGATTCAAGGTGATATTTTTACTAGTGCAGGTAATACAAACTTATATATCTTTGTTAAGCGATGCTCAAGGCAAGTTTCTAAACTCTGCCGTCAGAGTGATGGTATAGATCAAATCATAGATGTGGTTTTCACCGCTGTTAAGGTCTGTTCACACGATCCAATTTTGTTGGATCCAATTCACCTCTGATGGATGCTTTTATGGTCTGTTTTCTTGTAATGTATACGAGCAGCAAATCTACCGAAGCCAATGCAGTACTGCTTTATCAATAACCAACTATATTTCATACGATAGAAGTGAATTGGATCCAACAAAGTTGGATAGTGTGAACAAACCTTTATATAGTAGACTGGCAATAAAGGATGTGTTAACGTGTTTGATGGTTTATACTTTATATAGTAGCTTCCGGCCTAGCTGGCATATAGACGACTAACGATAATATGACTTTAAATATAGAATTGAAGTTAAAACTTATTGTCATCGGATCAGATGGCATCTCAAAGTGGTTAGCTCATTTTAACTCGCGATTTCTGTCGGAATACTGGACTGATTTTAATAAAAATAGAACCATTTCAAAGAGATAATTGTCCTCAGTAGATACATGCTTGTTTTTAGATTGATATGCGATTTATTTATTATTCAATATTACACATCAAAGCGGCCTAATCTATAAAATATTGCCCAAAATGCAAACCAAAACGGGTTATCTTTAGCGTCAAAATCGAGCCTTTAGAGGATTTTTGCCGATTTTTGTATCTGCGAGCGCAGATACATTGCTATCGGGTTTGAAAGTTTGAAAGTTTGTTAGGTTAGTTTGTTGTTTTGTTGTTATGCCAACAACCAGTATTTGTGGCCGCAGCGAAAACAGAAAGGTGGATTTGGATTTTTAATTGCTACTATATTGCAAAATTCGCTTAAAAGTAATGTTGAAATAAATAAGAGTTGAGTACGCCGGTATTCGTTCAACTATTTTACTTTATTTGCTCGGGTCTCGGCGGTCGAGCGAAATATGCAGGTTATCTGGTTTCATATTATTGAATTTATTTAATTATTAAAACAGCATTGAGGCATAAAATTATTCAGAGACAATTTTATAATTTATTTTACGCAGCCAACCATGTCGTTAACTTTTGTAATTATCATATTAAGTTGTAAAATTTCACATTGATTCAGAAATGTTTATCTTGCTGGATACTTGTAGAGCATCTCAAAAGAAACAAGCTAGGCGTATAATAATGGTGTATTTGACTCAAAAATTAAGACCCTATGAACCTCTAAAGTTTGCCTTATAAAACCTGCCTTAATTTGAAGATGAATTTGCCTTATTTGAACCTCTAGAATTTGCAAGAAGCCTGCTTTTTCAATTTCCTGCTAATTAACACATATTTACTGCGAACGAAGGAAGCATTAGGGAGTTTACGATTCAGGACGCAGGTAGCTGGACGACGCGCTTGGAAAACAAAGAAAATTAGCACGAGAGACAGTAAGAATGCATAATTTGTGGTCACATGAAAGCGTTGTCATTTTTACGACACCTTCCAATGAGGCATCAGCCACAACGTGATAGCTGTTTTACAGGTTATATAAAACTGCAATATCAGCTAAATGTCGGAGGTTCTTAACACAATTGAGACGTTTGTATGATTATTTTAGAGTACGGATAAATTTCTGGTAGCTTATTTATAGCAAAATAATTTACTACCATCGTCGAGCTAACTGCGTCGTAAATCGTAAACTTCCTATTGTTATGCATGCAAGCGTGTCGATTGAAACTTATCCGCGGAAATTTTTTACGGAAATAATTTTTGCGTTTCCCTAACAACTGAAACTTGTTACTATTAAAGGATCTATTGGTGGAAAATTACTGTTGAAAAATATTACGGAAAACAACCACAAAATGACAAGTACACTGAAAACTGATTCACATAAAAGGTAATTCGTATTTGTATTATTGTTATTATTTTTTTTAATATTATAAAGAATCACAATTTAGCTATTTGCACACCATAGTTGAAACCAACCAAAACGTTGACTTTGGGAAGAAAGTAAAAATACTAATTGATATATTAATGGATACATTCACGTAGCCTACTGTAGGTGCCTTTTTCACGTCAATAGGAAATTATAAAACACCATTGACACCACTCACACGAACACCGCGGAAAAATGTCTGCGCACGCGCCGAAATATTAAAATATGATGGTAAATCTAAATATCAACTTTTGGAACAAAACATGCCCATTATTTGATAAAATATAAGTTAAGAAAAGGAAAAAATATACAAGACGGCTAGACAGAACATAAATTAAAAGCCTTCTAGCATTTAGAGTATCGAACGAACTGGAATTCACGGTAAATTTTCTTTTGATTTACGGGGTGACTTTAGAATATTTTTCGGAGACAAAAGTTTAAACCTAAAAGTTAAGAAAACCCGCGGAAAGTTAAGCTTTCTAATATATTTAAATTGTAAAATACATATTAATTTTCAATCATTGAGAACACGCAAACGTCTCGTATCTGGCGACATATTTTTTTTAATAAAACGTGTCTCAATTAAAAGTTCGGAAACTGTCGTTGCTTATTTGATAAACAAAATGTTTGAGACGAAAAATTTGTTAACAGTCACCTTTTACAGGTGTTTTTGTAGCATGCCACTTCTAGGACTCTCCGGACGTTTTTTCTCTTAGTTTCTATAATGCAATGTTTATTTATGCCCTCGAAATATGGATTTGAAGACACGAATGAAATCACTCCTTTTTGCCGCCATTCTTAGCCTTCGGAAAATTTCGGAACCGCTTTTTAATTATTTTTAATCTCACTTACAGGCAGAGTTGACGCTTGCGCAGACGTTTTCCGCGGTGTTACTCATGCACACGTGAATCTACTCACCATGTGCGTGGGAAGACTAAAACACAATTGCTTGAGACAAGGTAATCGGTACCGAAACTACAACTACAACAATAATTGTAAGCTATTGGACTTACAGAAGAAATCCGTCGGAAAGAACTGAATAAATGAGCAAACACCCCCCCCCCCCCCAAATATTGTTCTAGTTTCGGACCCGCTGCTAATGAGTGAATAATTATTCGCCGAAAGCGCGGTGAATATCTACTGAAAACACGATCATAATATTTAACTCTTATTCACTGCGAACGAAGGAAACATTATGTTTTGTGGACCCGAGACCTATCGAGGGTCCACAAAAAATTTTCTAACTTCTCGGTAAATAAGTTTTTTATTATATACCACTTGTCAAAGAAAAACCAAACTACAAGGTAAACAACAAAGTATCTATTCAAAAAATGGATAAACAGTGTAAACGTCGCACGTCCAGATGCGCCGCACGTGATGAAAGTTGTTATTTCCCATGAGATAACACGTTATCTCACTCTGCAGGGGGTCGCGCTGGCGACATCAAAATTTCGTTACTCTCGCGTGATTCGCTTTCGACCAATGAAATGCTACAATTATATTCTTTGTCACCCAGGTCAAAATTAACCACATTAACAGAGGACCATAAACGATGGTGCGTCTTTGGAATTGTTCTCAACCATGTCGTTGTCCCTGCAATACGTCCTGTTCTAGAGCAGGAAATTCTCAAGGAGTACAACGACCTTAAATTGAACCACAATATTGACGTTCAGACCACACACAGCTTTCGTTCATCGAACTATCCAACTGATAATGCCATAAAATACGAGAACATCAATAAGAATGATACCAAGTTACAAGCCCCGCATTATCAAAAGTTTGATTACTCCAAGTTTGACTACAAAGTTACTTCCCATGTTGACTTTGCCAAGCTCTTTCTGGAGAATTACATGGCTAAGCTCAACGCGTTCGATGAAACTTGTGATGCATCCGCTGTGCTTACTTTACTTGGAAGAATTCCAGTGTTTTCTGTTAACATTGCTCTCCAAAATGCGGCAAATGTTGTCAGAAAAGATAGAAACGTCTGGGCTCATTGTGATGTTACTAAGTGGAATGAATCAAACTTCAAGAAGAGTTTTGATGGCATGAGAAAACTGCTAAAAAAAGTTGGTTTATCTCCTCCAAATAAATCGAACGCTTTAGCGGGTCTTAATGACTGGAAATACAAAGGTATATATTTTTTTATGTAATTATTTTCTTGTTGCATATTTTATTCCGCGTATTGCGTGAAAAAATAAGCAAATTTTTTAGATTTGAAATTTAGTCCCCAAATTATTTTTACTGAAATTTTTGTTTTTCTTGTTTTAGGTGTTGCATTGTGTATGAATGCTTCAATTGATTCAGAGCTAGTTAAAGTAATGCAAGAGCATGTTACTAAATTGTCAAGTGATGTGAACAAGATGGCGTTTGAGAGTCAAGAAGAATTGTGCAACTTGAAAGAAACCTTAGAAAATATTCACGAAAATTTACAAAATTGCGAGAAACGAGTTAAACAAATGGAGCTTACCCTGGATACTATGCAAGATGAACTAAGTTCCACAATTGACGAAGTACAACAACTGAAAACCAAGCAAGAAGTTCTTCAAGAAGAACAGAGTTCTATTTCAGTCAGAGTTGATTTACATCAGACCGGATATGAAGCCATTCAACAACGTTTCACGTTTTACGGTATTGTTTAACTGTAGCAATTGGTTATCATATAATATAAAACTTACGTATGATTAAATCGGACATTTTTTATCTTCTGTATGTCGGATCCGAATTTTTTTCCCATTTGCGAATCAATTTGTTGCGCACACGCTAGTTTGTTCTGTTTTTTTGTCGACCAATTTTATTGCGCGAAATTGAAACTGAGGAAAATAAAATTTCGCAACATTAGTAATGTCGCAGTTCTAATAAAATATTGAAATACTGGCCCAGTATACTATACCTGAACTAATGGTTAATCTGGTTAATCCATGAATCAAGTTACTTATAGAGGGGTTTTAGTTATTAATATGTTATACCTGCTTCACAATTGTGGCTTAAATTTTTTGAAATTTTTAGGTTTCTCCGATTGTACTTCTGACATTAAACATTTTGCTAGACGTTACGATCCAGACACAAGACTTTGGCTACTGCAAGATTTCAACAAGTGGTTCAGTGATTCTGATAACTCCAGAGCCTATGTACTGCTGGGTGATGCCGGAGTTGGCAAAAGTGTCATGGCTGCTGTCGTTGCTCAGAGGGCAAAGAAGGATGGAAACATGGCAGCGGCGTACTTTTGTCGTCACTACGATGGCACACGTCGTGATCCCAGGTATCTGCTTGCTACTATTGCTTGTCAACTGTGTATTTGTAATAAAGAATATGGTAGAGTTGTGGGAGGGGAGTCCGGGATACAAAATATGTTGACTAATGCTGAGCTAGGAGTTCAGGAGCTCTTTACAAAATTGCTAGAAGAGCCATTAAGTAAATGCAGTGGTATTGCGAAAAAACTTGTTGTGATTGATGCACTAGATGAGGCAGAGTATTTGTCCAGAAAAGATTTTCTTGATCTCATAATAAACCGTTTTCCAATGCTTCCTGAATGGCTCGTTTTCTTCATCACTAGTCGACCGGAGGGCATCGTCCATTTCAAATTGCAAACGTACAACCCATGTATTCGAATTTGTGCTGGTAATAGCGATAGTGCAGGTTTTTATGAACAGCATAAGCAGGATATTCAACGCTTTTTAGAGAATAAGATAAACTTTGTGGGTCTGCCCTATACTGCTGAGCAACTAACAGAAAAATGCAATGGAATGTTTTTGTACGCTTTCTACATTGCGGAACATCCTGACCAGATTAAGGATGGTGATCTTTTTCCTAAAAATATTAACGAATTCTTCAACAAAAATTTCGAACGCGTCAAAGAAAAAATAGGTGAGGATATTTATAGGAAATTGTTTGGCTGTGCTTTGGTGGCGCCTTCTCCACTTCCTGTTTCATTTCTTTCGTTTCTTTTGAAAAAAGAAAACAACGCTCTAAATGAGCAAGAAGTGATTGATGCTGTCTCGCTGTTTGTTGCCTTCCGAACTTCAGATAAAACCTTTGCGTTTCTTCACGCTTTGATTCCGTCCTGGTTAACTGATGTAAAAAAGGCGTCACGAGAATTGTTCATTGACAAAGCTGTGTCAAGCAAATACTTTACAAAAATCATCGTTGAATTTCTCGATTCTTTTCTTGAACGACAAAATGACCCTTCGTTTGATGAGACTTCACCCGATGTAGTGACATATATCTTAGTTATTGGATTTCGTTTGTTGTATCAGTCAGGTACAGATGTGTGTGTGAACTCTGAAATTGTTTTTAAGTGCCTGACAAACTACTACTTTCTTAAGCAGCGATTAGAAAGTAACAAACTGGGAATTTATTCTCTCCTTGAAGATCTAGAGTTATCTGTTGCCAACATGGCGTTTGATCAGGAGAAAGAAGCTATCCTAGACAACATCGCTTCGGTTCTTAGGGAAGACAAATATATTGTTCTTGGAAGTTCTGAACTTCTCGCCTCTTGTCTCCGGAAAGCATCTCAGCTTACACAGGCCAATATTACGCCTCTAAATGTTTTAGCTCACAGTGGAATTATCCAAGGCCAGTCATGTAATGTATTCGATCATGCTATCTCACTCAGGAATATTTTGTGTGACATGGAGTTCTGTACATTCTCTCATAACAAAAGCTTCCTTGCTGGAGGGAAAGGACGATATATATCTTTGTATGATTCGGGTTCTTTCCAAAAAATTTTCGGGCCAATTGAAGTGATGATTGAAAGTAACCAATGTATATCACATTTAGAATTCTCGCCAGATGACAAACTCATTTTTTTTGGGAGACTTGACCGATGGTTATCGGTGAAGGAGGAATGTGTCGTGAAGAAAACTCAGTTTGAAGGGAACTCCAAGTGTTATGAATGGGGTTCGTTTATTTCTGATGGCCAATATATTGCGGTGAGTGGGAAAATTCCTAAACATTCATTTTGTTTGCGTCACATGTTTTCTAGATGGGCTATTAAGGAGTTGGCTTTATTTGGTGAACTTTGTCCGAAAGAAAGATGGTCAGGTTATACTCGGGAAATGCATCTTGAAATCCTCTCGCCGATTGCTGAAAGGCACAAAAATTGTAAGAACTATAAAGAACTTGACAATCCGGCGATTGATATTCGCAAAATAATTTATTTTTATTATGCTGATATCTTTGAGCGTCAAATCTGGGATGTCAAGACTGGAAGGCCTGTGTTAGAAGAGATTTTTTCCTCGCAGAAGTCAAGGCCATTTTTCTATCTTTGGCACATTTTTTCTGTCATGCCTATTGAATATATCATATCACATGCAGAAGACATTGCGCTTCATGACATTGCAATATTTCACGCCTTTTATAGAATTTTTGGTCTTCCGATCACTGTAGTGGACGATCTGCCAACTGACTATCCAAGCATCAGTGAGGAAGTTTTTTTCGCAACCTTTTTTAGAGGATGTCGACATTTAAGTTTATCGGCCTATGTAAATGAAAAATTACGTAGGGAGCAAAAGACCATCTACTGTTCTCCGTGTGCATTAACTGTAGAAGAAGATGAGCTGCCAAGTGAAAGTTTCAGTAAGAAAAGTCTTCATTACATTTTCCATCAAGGTTTAGAAGATTATCTATCGAAAAAGATAGGTCTTCGTTCAGATGAGGACGATTTCGTTAGGCCGGTTTCAAATATATCGTCGTCTCTATCAGAGCTGAAAGATTTGTACAGCAAATATTCTCTTCTCGCAGCAACTGTAAACAAAGATGTGTTAAAACAGTATTCTCCAGGTAAAAGTATGAATACTTTGTCTGTAAAGAATTTAGGTTATCCTTATAGTTATATTCCTCCGAAACAGCTTGTAGTTAGTAATAGTAAGTTCAAGCTGTTTGAAGAGATAAAGGAACGTAGGCCTGTTTGGAAAAATCGTCCAACTGCGTTACTTGAAATGAAAATGGTGGATAATCTTGCTTTCATCCACGACGATAATATTATCTACGTTTCTGGGCAGAAACTGTTCGCAGTTTCTCTTCAGACAGGCGAAGAGATTGAAAGTACTTCAACAGTAGTTTCGCTTCCTTGGTCATTTGAACACGACCACCACGGTGAATTTCGATATATTTTCACAGGCTTTAACAATGAGACCAAAGTTGTCTCATTAAAAGATTTGCCTGGAGAATTTGTTCGTTATTGGTTTAGAAATTATACTAAACCAATTCAGCCAGATAAAGTTACATTCACCTCACCTGATTCAATTATATTTCTCTTTGACGATGGGTTGTGCCTGTCGTACAACTTAACGGATAAAGACATGATCCAGCACGACATTCAATACTTAAGTAACAGTGAGCACTCAACAAAGGACCTCGTGAAGAAATGTACTTTTTCTCATGGTGGAAAAATAATCGCCATGCACCAAGGATCTGAGCTCATTTTGTTTAAAGGTGGAGAGTTTCTTTGCTCAGTTTTTAATGTCGAAGAAGAATGTAAGCACAGTTTTCCTTGTCTCACGTTTTCAACTGATGATTCTTTACTTCTATTTTGCATCCAAAAAGGTGACAATGACCAGTCTGTCTACGTATGGAATGTGACGAATAGCGTTTTGTCTGATCCTATAAGCCTTCCATATATGATGAATATAGAAAGTGCTTGTTTTTCTTCAAATAGGACCAAGTTGTATTTCTGTAACGCATTGTCTGTTATGGTACTAGATTACCCTCCAAAGCTCTCTGCTAGTTCTTTTAACTTTTTGGATGTGCCCAACGTGCATCGCATAGCACAACGTAAATGTAATCACTGCACCATCTCGTCTGACGACAAGCTATTGGCTTGTTGCATTGGAAATGAGATTCTGATCCATCCCGTCAATGGTCCAAATAGCTTTTGGAATGTGCCACTCAATCACTTGGGTAGAATTGAATATTGCAGTTTTTTGCGAGGGAATCGCTATCTGATATCTTACGGTATCGATGGTGTTGTGTTTTTGTTTGATCTCTCTGTGTGGAAATCCATCGCATACGTGAAGCTAGAATCGATTATCAGCATGGCGATGTCTCCTGACGAGGACAAAATTATTTGCCTTGAATCTTCTGGTCAGATGAGAATGGTTTATTTCAGCGCTCTGAAATCAGGGTTACCTCCGAATTTTGATCTACCTAGAAATTTTCAGTTGGAAGAGAAAACATGCCACACACAAGGAAGCCAATATTCTTCATCAATAGTTCAAACACCAATCCAGGAAGATAAAATAACAAATGATAGAGATAGTGATAGTGATAATTATATCATAAGTTTGTTTGGCGTTACTCGTAGCAGTGATGACGAAGATGAATCAGAAGAATAGATGTAGCTAAAATGGATACGACTTCGTAAAATCAAGATTGTCTGAATTGTCTTTAAATTTCACTAAGGTTGCGCTCGGATGTTCGTATAACTGGCTGAGGAAAGATGTCTTGTTTACTATGTCATTTTCCTATCATAGCAATTCTGGTATACTAGCTAGCAGTGATGAAGACGATTCTGTGCATAGATTTCACTTTTTTTACCACAGCGCTGTTCGTCAAAACCATAGGTTATTATAACCGCCTGCACAATTGCCCAAAGAAAGGCCTGCGGTGGAGGTATGAACATACATAGGCACAAAACAGAACAAATCAAATAATTTTTCGCAATCGAGACCCTTTTTCAGTAGTTATATATAAGTTAGGAATATATGTGTACATTTATGTAGTCATTGCTGTGTATTCGGACAAAATTGATTTAAAAATTTCGAATTTTGCTTCCATGTTTTTATTCTATGCATCTTTTTCTTCTTTTGTCTTTGATACTGAATTGTGAGATCCGTCACTCCAGGACTTTCTCTGCCTCATTGAAAAAGCGACTTGCATGAATGTTAATTAATTTTGTTGATGCAGACGTAAAGGAAGGAAACGAATTTTCGAAAACAATTGCATTGTAGCGAGGCAAGCAGTGATTGTTTGCGTGCATGCCTCGCTAACCTTAATGGCTTTTCGATCGATTTGGTTGTTTTTGGATTTTTTATCCAAAGTTAATACCTATTCCTTCTCTAAATTCATTCAAACTGCGTAATTCGAGAATATATTGTTTAAAATCTAAAACTCATTCACACCAAATGTATGTGATACAGAAGACGCAGCGTCTAATAATAAAGTCTCTTTTAACGAATGTGCGGTGGAAATAATACATACCCCGTGAAAGAGCACTCCACTGGCAATAGCGCCATGTGCATGAAATAGACATTAGGATTTATCGGTTACATTCGTCAAAATTGCCAGGTTGACGAAATTATTGTACATTAAATCAAAGCATTTAGGGGGTATTTTAACCGCTTTATTTCATTTGTGTTAATTGTGTTTTTTATGTTGTGTGAGTGTGTGATTGAGTTTCAGATTTGTGATTGAGTTGTGATTTAGTTACAAATGCGTGTGTTGAAACTGAGAAATTATGAAAATAATGTATTTTAGCAATCTTAGTATAAGTCTATAAAAAATTAAAATATAGGTACTAAACACGTTGAGACAGAATTTTCTCGACAAAAAAATACCAAAGGAACAATTAACCCGTCAATAACTATGAGCTTGTTTGTCAAAATTAGCTATATGCATGTAGCGACGTTAAAAGGGATCAATCGGTGAAAATGCATGCAAGTTTTGAGATTTAAGTTCAGGATGTGTGTACGAAAAGCTCTTCATAATTATTACCTGGCTTTACAACAACAAAAAACAAGGAACAATCCTTCATCTTCTAGTAATTTTTCATCTTATACATTATTTGTGCATGTTGTCCAAAAAATCTAATTTCTGCTTGCTAATTTCGATGGAAAATTTGTAATTCATCATTTGTGATGAGATGAAAACCGACAGTGAAAATCGTTAGAATGGAATGTAATTTTGGCTGCGATTTATGTCCGATTTTCTTCTTTTGATAAATGTAAACGAGTGAATAGGTTAGTGATATTAAAGTAAGAGGTCTTATACCTTAGAGCATTCGTAACTGATTACTCGTTCACATGTATCAAAGGGAGAAAATCGCAGCAAAAATCGCAAGTATATAATCGAGCTTAGCTCGTGTCACACTTGTTACTGTGAATTTGCGTCTCGTGCACAATCAGGGACTAAAAATGCTTACAAGACAAACACATGGAAATGCATGATTGGCTTGTATGTGCTTCTCGTAATATTTAACTGTAAAATACGCATTAATCTGCCCAAAATAATTTGCTAAAAATTGGTAGGATATTTCGAAGTGGTCAAATATGCTAAGATAAACACCTCGAAAATCAAGCATAATAAGTATTGTAAAATAGAAAGATTATCATGTCATTTTTTTTTGCTTTAATACGATTACACAGCGTTTATTATTCCCATAGCTTAGCTATATATTATTGGTATACACAATCATGACTGTAGCAATTGGTGAAATTATTACATTTATGTAGTGACTGACTTTTTATACACCATTTACGAACAGACAAGTGTACAATTTCTGTATTAAATATCGCCATTTTGCCAATGCAATAAATGGTTGCTGTGTAAAATTCATCACGTGGTACAAATCAACGATTCAGAACGCGCCTAAAAAAATAGTCCCCCCTATTGAAATGAAGCTTTTGTTGGAATTTGAATGCATGATCAACGCAGTATAGGGTGTAAATAGCATAGATTAGGTTGAGGCATTCAAATAAAGGGTCGTCTTGCTTTCAATTGGGTTTATTATAATATTAAGGCAATCAGATTCTAACAAAGGCTTGATTTCAATAGAGAGGACATTTTTTTGGGACACCCTGTATATAATCAAGGTAGGTCTATATACTATGTTATGTCGTTTTTGTGTTTGTCATCAACTTTTGTTCGAAGCACCTCTTGTTTCAGATCATTAACTTTCCTGTTTAATGTAGTGTTCCAATCATTGATTTTATTCTCCAAATAGTTAAAAACATCTTTAAATGCTTCGTCAACAAGTGGGAGGTTAGGGTCGTATGACTC